AACACACCACCGTACTGGCTGCTGTGAAGAAAATTAACTCCATCCCAGCCAGACCCAGTACGTTCAGTAAGTCAGCAAATTCTGTTGCTTATTTTCAATAATAGGGTATGAGTTACTTGCATTTGAAGATCATGTAATAAGTCAAGAGGCATTACATCTGACTATAAAAGCAGTCAGATTAATATTGATGAATAATAATCAGCCACTTTGATATGTCAAAGAGTTGAGGAGTTGGAAGCTGCATTTCCAGAAGAATGGCAATGGGCAACTCTGTAGGAAAAGAAGAAAAATAAGGAGCTGTATATGGATGAAAAAGACTGAGAGTGTCATGTGCTCAGATATATCTGACTTGGAAGTGGAAAAGTGGAAGTGTTGTAGGAAGAAGCAGCAGACTCTTGTGTCATCTGGGTAGAGAAGGATGCAGAACAGGTTTGCAGGCTTATATCAATTTTGCTAGAAGTTCAAGGCAGTGGAGCACATCAGCAGAAAGGGGTGCAAAAGGGTTTGTGTCCTCCTTTATGAGGGCAAGGTGAGAACTTGCAGAGGTTTGTAGGTAGAATCTGGGAAATCAGCCAGGCACTAGGAGAAAGCAGAGGCAGAGATTTAGTTTTGAGCTGCTGGAAAAAAACATGAGAAAGGGGATGCATTGTAGATGTCAGTCTTTTTTTTTTTTTCTTTTTTTTTTCTTTTAGTTTCCTTTTTTTTTTTCTTTTTTCTTTGTGTTTGTTATGTTCATATTATCATGGGGGGACTTTATTCATTCTTCCTTCAATGCAATTTATGCCAGGCAGCCAAAAAAACTCTCTTTCAGGGAGCCTGGGTTATTAGCAGCTGGGTTGACCCTGTATGGGAAAGGAGACCCACTTTCTACCTATTGAATTGTAGAAGGGTTGAAAAACAAAAGTTGAGGAAAAACCCTTCCAGAAGCAACGGAAGAATTTTGCCTGATGCTAGGGTACTTAGTAGAAGATGTAATTTGAAGGGCGAATAATTTCAGGATGGAACCGTTACCCGTAATATCCACCTACAGCTCCTCCATACCCATAGTATCCACCTCCAGCAGTGTTGACAACATTCACAGCTGCTATAGGCCAAAACCACATAAAGGTTGCAGCACTGAGCAGTAATTAAGAGTCTGTGAGGTACCCTGTCTTTTTTTTTGTTTGGTCTATAACTGCAACAAGACTTGGAAATCTCCCCAGTTTAGTTCACATGCTTTACTTCAGAGTTTAGGTTGCATCACTTTCTTGGACTCCCAGAAAAGGGATTCTCCAAGTCTGCATAAGTGACATACATTACATGGTGTTTTTGGTAGAAGGGCCTATAGGATAACAAAAAACAGTGGTTGATGCCCCATGCCTGTCAGTGCTTAAGAGGCATTTGGACAGTGCCCTTAATAACATGCTTTAACTTTTGGTTAGTGCTGAAGTGGTCAGGCAGTTGGACTGGATGATCGTTGTAGGTCCCCTCCATCTGAAATACTCTATTCTATGCTATTCTATTCTATTCTAAATGATAACTTGGATCTCTAGCAGGTTCAGAAATAGTGTGGCCGGCAAGAGTAGGGAGGTGATCGTGCCCCTGTACTCGGCCCTGGTGAGGCCGCACCTCGAATCCTGTGTTCAGTTTTGGGCCCCTCGCTACAAGAAGGACACTGAGGTGCTGGAGCGTGTCCAGAGAAGGGCAACGAAGCTGGTGAAGGGTCTGGAGCACAAGTCTTATGAGGAGTAGCTGAGCGAACTGTTTAGCCTGGAGAAGAGGGGGCTGAGGGGAGACCTCATCGTGCTCTACAACTACCTGAAAGGAGGTTGTAGCGAGGTGGGGGTTGGTCTCTTCTCCCAAGTAACCAGCGATAGGATGAGAGGAAATGGCCTCAAGTTGCGCCAAGGGAGGTTTAGACTGGACATCAGGAAAAACTTTTTTACTGAAAGAGTGGTCGGGCCTTGGAACAGGCTGCCCAGGGAAGTGGTAGAGTCACCATCCCTGGAAGTATTTAAAAGACGTGTAGATGAGGCACTTAGGGACATGGTTTAGTGGGCATGGTAGTGTTGGATTAACGGTTGGACTTGATGATCTTAGAGGTCTTTTCCAACCTTAATGATTCTATGATTCTATGATTCTAATAATGATTCTACCTGCATTAAAGAAATAAATAAAAATAGGAATTGTTGCTGAACTCAGTTGTTGTGGTGACCATACTTTTTGTTTATTAACACAAACATAGATTGACTGTTGCTAATTGGAAATTTTATTGAAGTTCTTGTTACTATTCTGTTGTAATTAAGAATGCAGAACTTGAGGGGCTCTCCTTGGATCTCAGGTGTAGGCAACCGCAAATTGTATTAGCATTCAGAAAGCTCTATTTCTTATATAAACACTATTGTTCTCACCATGACATTGTGTGTTGAAAACCTTGCCATCATGTCTGTCATGAGTGTTAGAGCTGCTCTGCGGAAGAGGATGTGTTAACCAGTGCTACGAATGGTTTTGGATATCCTGTTTTAACACAGGACAAAATTTCTGTGAAGCGGAGCAAGGAATCTCTGGCAAAAGTTACTCTCTTCTTAATTCCTTTGGAGCCTCTACATATTCTTTGTTTATTTAAAACAACTCTAACTGTTACTGTTTGTAGGATTTATAAACCTTACAGTAGATGTAAAATTTCTTATCCTGGTTTAATTTGATATCGTTAAAAAAATAATACTTTTGTTCACCTAAAAAAAGATAATGACAGTCAAAGCTGAATATTTGATGCATTGAGATGCATATTAATTGAGATCAGTGACTTTTTTTTTTGATCATATATTCTTTCTTACTGGACAGCATTTAACTATCATTTACAGTCTATAACATAAGACTGTTAACTAATCCCCTTGGAGATGCAAATAATTCTATGGGGTTAAACTAGATACTATTTTTTAATTCCCTTGTTTTGTTAGGAACAGATGGACTTTACTTCTTCAGATCATCATCCAAACAAAAAAAGAAAGGTAGCAAATCAGACAGTACTGCTTTACAGACTGTTTTGTTGGGGTGTGCATGTGTGTGTGTCTATTGTGGTTAAAAAGAAAATTAACCAAAAAAAAAAAAACTTCAAGTAACATGCTGCAAAAGCAGAAATAGTAGTTACAGTTGGAATCAATGGAGATTCTCTGCCCTGGCGTTTCAGGATAATGTTTAATTAAATTAAGACATCTATTTTAAAATATTCACACACCTAGTTAAAAATTCTGATAATCCATGGGGTTCTTGAATTTGGCTGATTGTACTGCACACTTCTCTTGCTATAGCAAACTGAGTAGCTGCTGTACAGTAGCAGGATGGCTGTGTTGCATGAGTGGTGTTCGTCATCCTGGAAGGGGGGCTTCAAGCCAGCGAGGGATTTCAGAAACTGTATTGTCTTTCATGAAAGTCACTGAGAACTGGAGAGATAAATGGGTGTGATTATAAAAGGTGACAAATACTTCTACAAGTGACACCTGAAAAAGAGGGCACTGCTGTATCTGTCAGCACTTGAAATTCCTGTCTGAAGGAACCCTGGTCACAGAAGAGCCTTTTACAGTGTGGCTTTCATGGTGTCCTCACTGCAGATCTCTGTATGTCACAGATCACGTGCTTGGTAGTAGTCCACATTTTTTTATTTTGCAAAAAGTAACTTAACATTCCTGTCAACAGAATCACACACTTTTATTTTCCCCCCAAGTACTCAGAGTATGATGAAATTGATGGATTTTGTATGTACATCAGGTACTTTCCTTCTGTACAAAATCAAACTGCCTATTTTACTCAAAGATCAAAAATCAAGTTATTTAATGAAATGGAGAGAAAAGAATTGCCTACTTACAGAGTTTCCTTGGACCTCTCTCGGCCAAGTCTCCTAGGGACTTCCTGCCTTAGGCAAAGCTCCTGGTGTTCCAGATTGGGCCCTTAAGAGGTTGTGGTGAAAAAAGAGAAAAATCCTCCAAATGTTGCATTCAAATTTTTTCCACTAAAGTTGAAAAGTTTTCTTCAGTGTTCATCTGAATTCATTATTTTATGGTGTGGGTGTGTGTTGTGTCTTCATCTTGCATTTTCCCTTCTTTCCTCTCCTGGTTTGATATTAATCTATTGTATGGAGTAAAAGGCAAACGATGTTTCTGATTTTGCAGCATTGTGTTATGTTCAGCTGAAAAATAATTCTGTTTAGAGATATTTGGTGTGGGTTGGGTTTTTTTTAACCCTTTTCCATGCATATTTCTACATTAGTAATTCATCAAATTGAATACTTTAGGAAGAAATAAGGGATGAGTCAGGTCTGATTTGTGTGTGGCTTTGTTGTTTTGCAGATTTAACATGTGTTATCAGAAAATACTTATGCTTTCAAGTGCATTCATACAAATTCAGTAAGCCTGATGCTGGTTAACTTATTGCTACCAAAATGGCAAGCCAGTGATTTTAATAATCAGGCTTCCCAATGAAGTGTTTTCAGTCAGAACACTGCTCCCCTCCGGTGTCCTGACTCACTGGGACGAGATAACTGGCTTGTTTTTGCACCCACTGGCTCTCTGTTAACATTGTTGACGTAAGTATGATCCTTGTGCTGGACTATGTGGGGGTGAAGGTTTTTTCTGTCGAAATACAGAAATTATCAGCAGCTCATCTTCTGTTTTCACATATGCAACTAGTCTTGAGTAACTCTGAGATGTAATCAAAACAGCATGATAAGAAGTTGAATGAATAATTATTCTTTCTTTTCCTCCCATCTTTAGAACAAAGAAAGAATTATGCACGAGACAGTGCCAGCAGCATATCCGAAACTTCGCAGTATCACGTAGAGGTGAGAGGAGGAGCGATATACTAATTATAGCTTTCAGTTACATGCAGTTATTTTTGCCTACATGATTTTTGAGGATACATATGCTTGAAGGCATATACATCTTCCAAAATATCCTGCCAGCCCGAGGTCACTTCAGAATAGATTACACTGAAATGTCTCAAATTCTGTAACTCTGCCATAATGAGCTGAAATTTTGATGTAGAAGAATGTAAGCAAAGTTGTGTGTAGTTTGGCAAACAGACAGGACTTCTCAATGGGATATCAATTCAACGTGTTATGCTGCCCTGTCTCTGAACCTGGCTTGTTGCACAGCTGAAAAACCCCGTGCTGTTAGTGAGGCACACTGGATGATACTTAAAATGAATACTTTGATCAGTTATGATAAGCAGAGGTGACAGAATATTCAGAAAGTGCTGAGCATTAACCCCTAAAAGCCCCAGTATTCTGCCTGCACAGATTCTTCCCCAGTATGAAGTGCAAAGTATGTTACTTCCTGTATTAAGCCGCTTTGCAGAAATACTGCATGCTGCTGTCATATTTTATCCAGGAGTAGATATATTTAAAATATTCAGCAAAGTAAGCCTGGGTACCCATATGTAGCCTGTTAAGCACTTTTGGATGCAATGCCTCATTCTGTAGTCTTACTTTGGCACAAACTTTCTCCCACTGCCATCAGACCACTCTCATGGGTTAAGCCAAGTCTTGCAAATACCATAGATTCTTAGCTCCTTTTTGCTGGGTTTTAAATTAGCTGTAAATTGTGAGATCATGTGCAGAAGAGTCTTAATTTCAAGTGCTTCTATCCTATGATCAGCTTGATGCTTCTAATTGTCTATTTTTCTTTGTTTTTTTCATAACGGTTTTGGTACTGGCATAAAAATTAGTACTTGTATTTGGAGTCTAAGCATTCCTGTGTGAGCAGCCAGTGAAGAGTTTGTTTCACTTTACGTCTTTTAAATACTTTGATTCTATGCAGCATATATGTACTCTCTTGTCTGTCATTACTAAGTGCTGTTATCCTGTAATAGAAGCAAGCACACTTAATTCTTCTTTTTTTTTCTTTTTTTTTTTTTTTTTAAAGTTATTTAGAAGATAGATGTGCAGGCATATATTAGAATTGGTTCAGCTTGAATGAATGTAACCACGTCTTCAATAAGAGTATGAAGCTGGATTTATGCCTTGATAAAATGAAATAATTTTATGGGTTGTCTTGCATGGTTGGCATGTTGAGGAAGAAATTGTTAAAACCCTAATGACAGGGAAGCTAGTTGAGGTGATGGCTGTCAGGCAGTATTTAATTTCTAGACCATTAATTGAATCTGGAGAATATTCCAAGTTGGTGGTGAGCAAAAGTAGTTAGTATACCACATTTCTACTGTGATCCGCAAAAAAGAAGAAACTAGCCTGTCCATAAGGTATCCCAGTCAGATGCAAGCCCATCATGGTTGCCATCAGCATGCTAGCTGGCAGCTCTGGAAGAGATGAGGACACTCCAGGTCAGGGTGGTGGTGGAGGTACGTTGGCAGGGTGTTTCTGGGAAGCTTCTGCTGACGCTTCCTGGATTCACCTCGCCAAGAGAGACAGGTTTTCACTCCTCAAGAAAGCTAATTAAATACTCAGGGTTTAATTCTAGCTTTGATACCTGAAAGATGTCAGAATATGCCTTCAAGTCTAACCACTTACTGTAGTAAGGAAATGACAGAGGATGACAACAATGAGTTACAAAAATCAGTTGACTTAAAATGACATTATGGACTAAACAACGTCTCTTATAGCTTATTGGTGGGATCTGTCATATACAAAGGCACTTTTATTCATGAATAATTTGTATTGCTATTTCCTGGCAATTTGAATACTGACACTGCCGAGCAATAAGGAAAATTACAGTTGTTTTTTTTTTAAAATGTACGTCCCATTCACTAGCACTTGACCACCTTTGTTCTGGACCGAAAAGAGGCAATGATTACAGTAGATGATGGAATAAGAAAGCTGAAATTGCTGGATGCCAAAGGCAAAGTGTGGACTCAAGATATGATTCTTCAAGTGGATGACAAAGCTGTCAGTTTGGTGGACTTGGAATCAAAGGTAAGATCTGTGAGTGGCAGTCTCATTTTCAAAGAGAGAGGGAGAGAAAAAGGGAACGGGCAGAAAACTGATGTATGTGAGATTCGGTATTTTAATTAGCTTATTATCACTTTCCCTTTTTAACTCGTGCAGCTTTTCTGAGATCAGGACACTGTATAGTAAGGTGGTGTTTTGTGTTTGCTTTTTTTTTTTTTCTCTTCCGGCAGAATGAACTGGAGAATTTTCCTTTAAGCACAATTCAGCATTGCCAAGCTGTGATGAATGCATGCAATTACAATTCAATTCTTGCATTAATATGTAAAGAACCAACCCAAAACAAGCCCGATTTGCATCTTTTCCAATGTGATGAGATTAAGGTAAGGTAGTAATGGAGATTTGCTGTGACTTATTTGAATAGGGGAAATTTTATGAATTGGCAAGTACAGTGGGTAAAATCAAATGAACTGATTCATAGAAAATAATTCTGTTCTTTTATTCTTATAAATATGCTTTAAGTTTAATGCATTTATGATATCGACACTACTTATAGTATGTTAGTAAATGTAGTGTAGTATGTCTTGCAAGAGAGTAGTGCAGTATGTAAGCTGAATCCTTAGTGCATGCTCAAATATGTCGTTACTGTAAATATTGATTCTTGGGTTTTAGTTGTTCATTTAGGTTTGCGAATGAGTAAAGCTCTGGAATATGTGTATGGTTTGCATTCATGCTTCTGGAGAAAGTGGTGTAAAATAGTTTGAGTTATCTCAAATTTATCTTATAATCTGCAAAGAACTCATCCGAGCCCTGAGTCTTACCCAGTCTTTTCCCTTTTTCTTCTCGTTTTGTCACTGAACAATTAAACCTTCTCTACATTCCCACCTCTCTGCATCTCTTCTCTGCTGGAGAGGTAATGAAAAGGAAAATACTACTTGCAGGAGGGGCAAAACAAGGAAAGAGATTGTTTGTCTCCGATTAAAATATTTCCTTCAAGCGTAAATAAATTTTTTAATGTATTCTGAAATGCTTCTGTATTTCCAGGGTTATAAATTTTAATTTCTGTTAGTTACTCTATGTAATTAGTATTTCTTTAAATTCCAATTTATAATTTCATGGGGATTTTTTAATTCCTTTGTAGTAGTTCATACCATTGTCTTAAAACAACAGATTGCTAATCACATTGTGCAACTGTTTTGAAATTGGTATAGTGAGAGTGGTGTGAAGATGACTGGCTAATTGTGTGATTAGTTGCACAGAATTTGCTGTTTCAATGGAAATTGGGAATCCTGTGAGAAGTTCAGGTGGCATTATGTTAAATAATGCAGGAATCCTTATTGAGGTCTGGTTGGACCCAGCTTCCCAAAGTGTAGAGGTGGTCTCTTTTCTTCAGACTTTCATCTTTTGAAGTTGTTCCTCTGTGTACAAGTAAGAATGCAGAGCACATAACGATAACTTGGAAGTCCAGGATCCCCCTTTTCTTCTGAGGTATTGTTTGAGTCTGTGACCATACCCTAGCTTTTGTTCCTTACCCATGAAACTTTGCTGCTTTTGAAAAGTTAGGTCTTTCTCCCTTGCCTTTTTCCTGCTTTTGATTAGAAGTTACCATGAACCTCAGGAGCCTCTGCAATAAAAAAAAATTAGTCAAAATCAATAATATTTGGGGCATTCAATATTTTCTAAACAAAAAATTGTTAATAATAAGTATCAAGAGTATGATTAATGGAATTCTTCTGGGTTTAAGTTCCTCAAATCCCCTTAAGTTTTTTCTATTAACTCTTTAACCTTAATGTATCCCTTGTCCATATTCTGTACCGCAATTCATTATAGACTGACAGGTCCCTTAATCCACTTGGATCCTAAATTCAACAAAGTCTTCTGGTCCCAGCAGAAGTTACATATTTGTCCCAAGAAGTTACATTATGAGGGTACTAAGAAAGACATGGACCTTGTAAAGTGAGCCAGACACTGACAGATTTGGGCTTTGACAACCTGTGTAGGAAATTAATTTGTCAGTTGAAGACATGTAACAGAGCATTCTAAATCCTACGAGAAGCCATGACCTATTTAACGCAAGATCTATTAAAATAATGCTTTAGATATGCATCAAAATTTTCCTTGTGGGCCACTGGTGGGGGCAGGCTGTACTTATGGAGAGGCAGGAACCTACAGATTAGGTTCTTACAGGATGTGTTCTGAAAAATTCATCTTCTGTTACATCAAAGCGAAACTGGAGACTATCGTTATTTCTTAAAGGAAACTACCACTACAAGTTATTTTCCTAATCCTTTATGCTGCTACTATCTACAGTAGTTTTGCTGCTACTACCTATAGTAGATTTTTTTTTATAGTATGTCTTTCTCCTAACGTACTTGAGAAAAACAAAAATTATGTACACAGAGGGAAAAAATAGCTTATGCAATAATGGTTGACTTGAGATAATTACAGCTGTTCAGACAAATTTGGTATCTAGATGACATACTCATCTGATGATAATGCTTGAGATTGGAACAGTGACAAAAATACCAACTCCCAGACAATAGCATTGTGTGTTTCTTTGTTCTGTTTATGTGTAAAATAATTTATCCCAGAACTTTTAAATAAATGGGATTTGATAAGGGATTCTGGTATCTAAAGATGCCCTAAAAAAAGGGGCATGAGGAGATATTTATTTCATATATCTGGATAATCGAGCTGATAACTGATGGTTTCTGTTTCTGTTTCTTTAGGCTAGCTTTATTCATGAAGATATCGAAAGTGCAATCAGTGACAGCAAAAGTGGGAAACAAAAGAAGAGGCTTGAAACACTGAGGTAAAAGCCTAACTTCTTGGTATATAGGATCATCAAATAGTGTTACAGCATTCAGAAGCTCTCTAAGTCTGCCTGCTGTCTTTTGCTTTTTTTTGCTGGTTGATAATGTACTTCCAAAACCACATATAGAGGCCTCGCTTTAATAATTATCTCAAGCTCTCTCAATTTATAGTGTCACTCTTACCTTTCCCGATTCCCCCTTAGTGACGGGAACAGCTGACATCAACACCACTTGCCAGAGAATAGCATTGCAAGTCTCAGTTCTGCATATGGGTCAAGTAGTTCAGAATTTAAATTAAAAACATAAATGCCCCATAACTCCAAGTGAATAAGAGTATGATAAAAGGTTTTGGGATCTAAAGATGTTAAATAAAACAGCAACTGAAGATTGAATAATCTTCCTGCCTGCCTGTTTAACGATGCTGAAGACTCCTTGTTTCCCTGCTAGCAAAAGCTTCTCTGCCAATTGGAAAGTGTAGGGGAAAAGAGTCTGTTGGGTTCAGAGAAGATTAATACAGAAATGAGAGGTAGCCGACAGAGGCATAGAAACAAGGGCACAGATGTATTAGATATGGAATGGTAATGGTGGTTTGTTGAAAAGTTAGTATGTAACTGCATCCTGATAGTATCTCTCAATAACACTTAGTTTTGTTGCCCAGATAGAGAAGCCTCTGCTGGACAAAAATCATAAAGTAAAAACATCACCATTATATGAATGAGTTTATAACAGTCTTAGCTACCTGTTAAATTCTGACGTGTAACTCATGAAGTTTTCGTAGAGTAATGGACACTCCTATAAAACCAAAACAAAAACTGAACTATGTCTAACTTTATCTCCGGGTTTAAAATTAAATAAGTAGACTTTACTGTTTGTGGGACAAACAGGAATAAGCACAAAGAGGCAATCCAGAAGGACTCTAACACATTGCATGTGCTGGGAAGCTAATGAGATTTAATTGGGAAAAGAATGTAGGTCAGTACATCTGGCGGGAAAAATAATCCAAGATATCAGTCTCCGAGGGCTATGAAGCCAAGAGGTCATGAGTGCGTGACAGCTTAGTGCCGATTACTCGCTGTCGTATCGTGTACATGCTGGCATCAGGTCATGGGGAGAGACCCTCCCGCCTGACATTGCGTTATAGAGTTGCTGCAAGGTTATTGACAAGTAGAACTGTAGGACATGTAGAGAACAGTGCCTAGGAGACTGGAGGAAGGAAAGGTGAAGGAAACATTTTTTTGACCAGTGTTCAAAAACCAAATAACATTTGACATTTTGTGTTGTTGTTGAATGCCATGAATGAGATGGGATTATAAAGAGATGAATTCAAGGTGAAGATCTTGCTTTTAAATAGGGATGTGGGGAAGGGATGGGATGTGTGTATGACAGGAGTTGGGATTTTTTGTCTGTTGGTATCAAGTTGCAGAATGGCTTCAAAGACCTCTTTCCTTATGGTATTTAAAACTAGATTAAGAACTGGAAAACTGGAAAATTACAGGTGGGAACACTGATACATTTCTATCAAGAAAGGATGAACAGGCCACTGATATAAAAAGGAAAATCAGCCTGTAAATTTAATTGTTTTTGTTGGTAGCGTTTTAAGAAACAGGTGGTTGGCAACCTGTCAAATTTAGGGAAGAGATGCTCATTTGTGTTGACTGAAAGGTAACTTCGTTACTAATGAAGACTTTCGCACAAAATGGAAGTCCAGCCACTGAACTGCATGTGGCAGTAAAAATGCCACCTACTAAACCCAAGGCACTGAATTTACCTGCGTAAACTGGCAGGTCTCTAGGCATCAAGTTCTGTGGCACTGCTTGGGGATTTCCCATGAGGCCAGGTGACAAAGGTTTGCTAACCCCATCATGGAGTGGGTCTCCTACTGTGTTTAACATATTTACACATCATGGTCTTGAGTAGTGCTTACTTGGCAAGTCCATAGTATGTTCAAGAGTAGAAGAGGTCCTTGTAAAGCCTCCTTGTCTTCTCTGATTAAGCACTAGAAAATAGAACGTTTCTCCTTCAAGTGTCACTTCTGGGCTTTCTTCTCTTCCTCTAGGATGATATCCAAAGCTGACAGCACCATCCCTCCGCCGCCGCAGGCGCCTGCCCCTGTGCCGCCGGGGACCATCACCCAAGTGGACGTGAGAAGCCGCGTGGCGGCGTGGTCCGCGTGGGCTGCCGAGCAGGGGGAGTGTAAGTATTTCTGGGAGCCCGCTGCCGCAAGTGTGGTGACAAACAGTTGTTCTGGGCAGTAGGTTTTTATAATCCTTGGTGATAACAAAAATAATTTGGAAGGACCACTTTCATAAAGATTACAGTAATTGAATCCAGATACAGAAATAGTTGTACGAGGTCACCCCTCTGTCCTTGCTGAGAGCAGACAGGATTATTCTCCCAGACTAGTTTGAAATGCCCCAAGCCACCGTTGCCTGATCTGGGGAATAAGACCTGACTGTCATAATCTGACTTGTCATTTAATTACCCATTTTATGAATTTCTGTTCAGAGCTTCGTTTACTTGTGTTTATCTGGATGAGGGTGTGGGCTACCAATTTTAACCTGGGCTTTTTTGTGAACGTAGTAACATTCACAGTAGTCAGTACTGTTCATAAATCTAGTAATTTAATGATGCTCTCTTTAGTAATAGGGAGAGCGTAGGCCAGATTTTTCGGACAATTAAAAAATGTAATCATGGATTAAAAGCTGACTGGAGATCAGCATTATTTATTTATTTTATAGTTATCATTATAATGGTCTGTATGGCTAAACCAGTTGTTTTTTTTTTTTTTTTTAAAGCCTGAACTAAGGAATGCTGTAGCATTTCTGATGGGCTTGGATTTTTTTGATTGTTTGTTTTTTTTAAATCTCTAATGGAAACATTTTTATTTTGATCAGATTTTGTTGAAAAACATTCTTTAGAAACAGTAAAGCTCCTTCTTTAAAACAGGCTGTATTAAGGCAATAATCTTGGTTAAACTGAGGCCTTTTTTGGTGTGGTTGGTTGGTTGGTTTTTTAATAATAGGTACTAAAATTTTAAAATTAGAAGTCATTAACCATGGAGTCTTTATAATTTTATTAAACGATATCACTCAACAAAGGACAAAACTATGCAAAGAAAAAACCTAAAAATATTCAGAGAAATCTGTAATTTTAAGAATGTTTTTGTCTACTAATCTACAGTATTACATCTATCTTGAGTAAAGGCTAGTTTGTTCTTCTGTTTGACTTATCCTCAGCTCAGAAAAGTTTCATTAGTTTGTCAAGTGGTCTGTCTTGCCAGACCACTTGTGGATCTGCGTTCCTGCAGTTCCTTTTATTCCATTCATGTGGATTTTTTCTAAACTATATTTACTAAAATCCTACCTCTTAACAAAAGCAATACAGTATTTAGTGTGACTTAAAAATGTAAAGCGTATAATTTCTCAAAATGTTAACCCTTTTTGTTTTCAAACAAAAGTCAATGACTCTGTCCATTGTTATTTGGAAATACCTGTTTTATCACATCATTATCTCCTATTTCTCTGTTGCCAGACTTGGTCACTCTGCCCAAATTCCTACATCCCTTTTTGCTTATTACCTTTTAGATCAAAATTGTCTTCGAAGTCATGGCTACATTCTTCCTTCCTGCTCACTTCTGCTGGAGTAGCTTTCAGCATATTTTTCAAAATGGGATGATTTCTCGTTATGTTGTATTTATAATTGACCACTTTCTGTTTTAATTTTTTAAAAAATTAAAACTGGTACCACACTTCTGTGGTTAACTTCATTTATGCAGCTAAGTTGACTGAAAGCATACACCTAAGCTTTTTGGTTTTTTGTGAGACTTGGCAGAATCAGGCATTAGGATGCAAGATTTTCACGTTGTGTGGAGTCCTTGCAAAGTGAATGGTACAAACATTGCCCATCTTTTTCTTACAGCAGCATGATTTCAAGCATAAGCTGTATAGGAAGTGTTGGTTACTAATTCTGTGTATATAGATGTCTTACTCTCTTCTTCCCTTTTCTGCAGTTGAAAAGCATAGACAATACCATGATCATGAAGAAACAGCAGAGATGATAGCAGCCAGGATTGACAGAGATGTTGTAAGTGAGAAACTACAAGTGATATTGCTTAATGTCAGTGAAATTTTGCAGCTCTAGTTCGTGAGAAGGCTTTTTCCACATGGGAAATTCAGTTCTGGAAAGCTTTCCAGGCAGCCTATGTTTGTGTGTTGGACCTAAAAATGAATAGGGAGTAGTTCTTTTTTGTTTTTTTTTCTTTAAAAAAAAAAAAAAAGAAAGAAAAAGCATTGAATGTTGAGGCAAAGTTTTCTGCTGTAAAGAGCTAGAAATATAAATACTAATTTTATGTGGTAGACCAAACTCAGCGAACTATGTAAGGATAAACTTAAATTCCATTAATTTAGTGGGACTTAGATATGTGCAATATCTGGAAAATTATCATATGGTCATTTCTGATCCTGCCTATAAGCAACAACGTTGGGCAGCTCTTACGATGTATGCGATATCAAATATTGCCCCATTTGTCAGTTCTAACTTTCTACTTTTCTACTCTGATGTTGCCCTCAGCAACATCCAAGGGTCTTGAGGAAAGCATTCTGGGGCCTGCTGAATTGGTGTATACATGTTTTCCCCAGGGGCTCCTTCATTCTCCTCCACTTGCTCTTTGAAAACAATTCTTCAAAGAGTACTTCTTCTATAAAACTACATTCTGACATTCAACAAACAGCTTAATACTTTGTACTAAAGGAGATTATGAAGTTATACTGTTTAGGAAAATGCTGTCCTACACAAATAATAGAATTATAATAAAAATAATAATAGAATTTTTTCATGTGTTGTGAGAGAAAATATAGTGTGTGAATGAATTGTGTCATTCCAACCTGAATAATCTTGATGCTTACATCTTAAAAAACTTCCAGTGGCCCTAAGTTTTTAAAAATCTAAGATTTAAAATACTTTACAGGTTTTTAACATTAAGAACATAATGAAACTAAATAAGCAATGTTCTAACGTGGACTTTGTTCTGAGGAAGCTGTTGGTGTCTGAAAGTGTAGTCATTTTGACTTCTGGAGTATTTCTGCTATAGGTTCTGTAGAGAAACTCTTACTTTTCTTTTCTGCCATAGCAAATTCTGAACCATATTTTGGATGACATTGAGTATTTTGTTACCAAACTTCAAAAAGCTGCTGAAGCATTTGCTGAACTTTCGAAGAGGAAGAAAACTAAGAAAAGTAAAAAGAAAGGGCCTGGAGGTAGGAGTTCTTATTGCACACAATTCTGTTTCTCTGAGGATCATTGAAGTAGCTAGCAAATGTGTCTTTTTGTGTTGTTTTTTCATGAGTGTAGTAATTTTCTTTCACTTTGAGCACAACAAATCCTATGCAGTATATTTAGAGGGAAACCTATGAAAATTATTTGCTTGAAGTCAGTGAGGAGTGACTAATTAGAGATATGACTGCAGAATATACTCACTGTGTGGTGGCTCTATATTTAAAAAATTTATAAGTTGGTAAATTTATTATGTATTTATATGTTTACTATACCTGTAATATTTATAGAAATTATATACCATATAAATGGATATATAAAAATCTAATTTTGTTCACCAGAGGGAGTTCTTACTCTCCGCGCAAAACCACCACCTCCAGATGAATTTGTTGACTGCTTCCAAAAATTCAAGCATGGCTTCAATCTTCTGGTAAGTGACTGCTAGTGGATACAGTGGCGTGAGGCATGCAGTAACAGTTTTTTTCCTAGGATAGTTGACGTTAATTATAACATGACCTTTGTTTTCCCTGCCGCTACAAATTAATTTGGGTGTCAGTTTTGCTGCATTGGTTTTCCTATGTCTTATTTCACTAGTATGAAGTGAAGAACTAAAATTCTGGGGAAAGATGAAGAGGAGAAGGAAGAATCGGCAACACGATGGATTTGCTTTGTAGTTATTTTTAAGTTGAGTTTTCTTGGAGATTCCTGCTATTCCAGAGGGTGTGGATGCTTTATTGTTGACTCCCCTGAGGGAGCTGCAGAAGGTTATCTTGTCTTTGGGAATGTATTAATCAAGTCTTCTGCCTTCTGTCTAACTTTTCCTGGTGCCTTGTTCATGTAGAGAAACCTTGTGGGTCTTAAATGCCCTACTGCTGCCAGCTGTGCAGAGCGGGTAATGCCATCCAGGGAATTGTGAGCCTGGGTCTGTGTTGTCTTGGTCTCCACTGCTCTTTCAGAAGGAACAAACCCACAAGTATCCTCTTCAAGAATGCTGATATACCTGGAAATGTAAAGTTTGGTCCTTGGCTGACAGACGGGAAGATAGCTCAGCTGATACTTGGCTGATCTTGGACGTTCACCTTATCCTAACTGAGACAAGGGCAGAGCTGGCCACCTCTGGCCTAGGTTGGCCTTTGAGCGAGCTTTGGGATGCTGCTTCTCAAGGGCTCTACACAGTGACTAGATGAGCATATTTCTTTTTCAGCATTATTGTGTTTCTTCTTTTCCTGGTTCTTTAAAGCCTCTTACTTGGAAAATTTGAGTTTAAATCATAAAAGAATTTCTAGGAACGCCTGTTGGGATCACGGTTCTGTTGCATGCTTGCCAGCATCACCAGCTGTGGCCTTAATTTAGTTTTATTCAGCTATGCCCATCAGACTCTCTGTGCTTGTTGCCATCATTATGTAGGACCTTTCTGGCTTCAGAACGCTCCATCTGACAAATTGCTGTCGCTTTATAGGTTCTCAACAAGTGTAGAAGCTAATTCAGGAGCCTTCTCCTGGCACCTCCTCTTCTGCAAGTGCTATTAAAGAAAGGCAGCAAGTGGGACACCTTCAAAACATTTGCTTTCAGATACTGACTGTCCCTTCCAATTGCTGGGGAAGCTATGCCAACAGGGAAAATTGTTCCTGCAGTCACTGAGTAAAATCAGCTTCTTCTTCTCTTGGGGAATGAATTCTGATGGCAGGGCTGCAGGAGGTATTTAGAAATGTTAAGAATATGTATATTTTTGTTAAACCCTATATCGAATGCTGTGATTCTGACCTTAAAGGATTGCTGTTTTGGAGGGAATGGATGTCTTAGAACATGCTGATCCTGCTCAGAAATAGTGCTTTTAACGTTCATTTTTCTCCATTCTTACTTTTTACCGCATTCTGTATTTAAATTAGTTTTTCACCCAAGACCAACATGTGCATCTTTGAATCTTCTGTGCAGGAGAAGAAGCAGTGCTTGTTTTGGTGCTCAGCAGCATCTAGGACCTGGTTTCTAATGTTGCTCTTGAAGAGCTCTGCTATAATAGTGCATTCAGCATCATTGCAGGAGCCACAAAAGCCTGAAATTTCACTTCCTGGTGCTTAATGTCAGACATGGAGAACTGTGTAAAATGAAGAATCTAGTTTAAAAATAAAAGGAGTAGCTAGAAGAATAAAATCTTTGCCAGTAGAATGGAAACTGTTTTAAAACACCATGCTGGAAGCTCCTAGGAAATGCCTACCATCTGTCAAAAAAACTTTAGAAAAACTGAAAGAAAGTTGTTATGACTGAAGAACAATGTATAGGAAGTTATTAGAAGTAAAAACACATCCTCCTCCTTTCTTCATTTGGAGGCACACTCTGGAAGGCTAGATGTAAATGTAGAATAAGGCTAGCCAAAAGCAGTTTGAGGAACAGACAGCAAGATGCAATAAAAAATACTATAACTTTTTAAAACACATTCTAGCATGCTTCTTATTTCTGGAGCCTGCAGGGCCAACGGGTGATCAGTAAATGAAAGAAATCCTCCGAGAAGCTGTATCAGAGAAAGTATCTGATTTTTTTTATGCATATGTTTACTTGGAAAAGCTTGATAGTGGACAATATGTTCATGAAAACCATTTTTTATGGGGGGCACAAGAGATTCTGTTTCATACTGCAGAACCGGTAATGGGTTAAAGAACAGCAAATCAAGTTACAGGCAGATGAATAGAAGCCCTGTTTGAATGGGCACCGTTCCTCCATCTATTCCAAAAACTAAGTCAGCAGACCACACAGTATGGTGCATAACCTCTCTCAAACTGCCTTTCCTCCGGAGGAAGATGAGTGGTTAAGGTAATGCTGATAATCTTTAAAGTCATTCCAAGGATCTGAGGGACTAGGACAACCAGGTACCCCTGAGGTACACATGATATGCAGTTTGTAGGTACATGAGGTACACATGGGATGCAGTTTGTAGGCAGGTATATTAAATTGAGAAAGAAGCAAACATGCATCTTGCAAAACAAAGTAATGTCTACAAATCCATCAATTCTTTGATTTTGTTTCTTTGGATTTCCAAAACACATCCAGCAATGTTGCACACCCTGAAGTTCTTAAAGAAACTGAGCAACTGTGAGGTTGAATATAGCTTCTTAGATTCTTGTTTGGTGAAATAGAAAACAGATTATAGGACTAAAATGATGTTTCTCAAAGTGCAGTGAATTCAGCAGTGAAGTCCCATACGTGCCTCTGCAGAGGCCTTTGCTGTCCAACATATTTACGTGTGTTCTGGCAAATGAGGAGTGTAGAGTCTACAAACATAGAAATATCTCATGATAGCAGATAAAGTGACAGATGAAATTCAATATTGATAGGTATGGTAGAGCATGGACAGGTGGGGGAAAATCTCATATATACAACAAATCAGAACAAAATGTTGATTTAATACAGATTCCTGTGAGAACATAATCCGTGTTCAAAGGTGATCAACCAAGCAAATGTTAAGAACCATTAGGGAAAAAAAAAAAAGAAAATTAGCAAATAAAGAGCATCAATATGCCGTTATGTTCCCTGGCCTTATTTTGTTGCCAGTGTAACAAAATTGAAGAAAGTACAGCAAGGACAAGAATGCTCAAAGGAATTACTTTAGATTGGAAAAGACCAAACAGAGGAAGAATGTAATAAATCTGTAGATGGTTATGAACATCACTGGAAAAAGCGAGTAGAGGATTGCTCAGTTTTCATTTGGAAAAGAACTACAGAATAGTATGAAACTAAGAGGTGGCAAATTTCCAAAGGAGTTGCTTCTTTACAAAGCGTATAATTCAGTTGTGGAATTTCTTGTTTTAGATGCTAAAGATATACATGGATTCAAAAGCAATTGGATGAATAAGCACTTGCACATAGCGGATGTTGCAGACAAAACACTGGGCTTAAGCACACCTGTGGCCTGACCAGGGACGGCCATTTTTATGTGAAGTATTTATTGTCATAAAAGCATAACCGTTTCTTAAAATGTATAATTTTCCTGTTCCTTCAGGCCAAATTAAAGTTCCATATCCAGAATCCTAGTGCAGCAGAACTGGTTCATTTTCTCTTTACCCCACTACATATGGTAAGGTTTTATAATTTTCTCAGTGTTTTCTTTCAGAACTCTTGTATTTATATGCTCTGTAAACTTTTCAAGGATAACAAGATTGAAATGTTGTGCCCCTGGACAATAACTAAGGAGAAATGTGTGTACCTCAGGATGAGGTTCTCTTTAGAAAATAATTTATATGCTTTTCTGCGTATATTCCCATTTATTAAATATATTTATTTAAATAATCTTTAGCTTTGTGTGTTACAGTTTGCCATCATAATTTTTAATTAACAATAAAAAATTGAGATCATTTACATAATGCAGGAGGAGAGTTGAAAGCATAGCCATATGTCTATTTAATGGAAGTACATGTGGTTTTGATCAGTAGAGCAAAAATAACATTGCCAAAAGTGGGTCTAAATATAAAATAGTTGGTGACCAGAGCAGTTCTTCTGCAATAATTTTTTTTTTTTTGGTTAATCTGTAGGACATTAAGACACATTGTTAGCTTCTCAGAGTTTGGGGGGGGGGGTGTGGGCTGTTTTTGTGAGTGATAGGGGGGTGCGTGCTGTTTTTGTGAGTAATAAATGTTTCCTAGCAGCACTGTAGGTAACATATTCACAGTAACTTCCTTACTGACAATGTGTATGTTCTTTGTATTATTTTAATATTTGGATTTAGGTGGTACAGACAACAGGAGGTCCAGAGCTTGCTGGTACAGTACTCAGCCCCCTCTTAACAAAAGACACTATAGACTTCCTGCGATATACTGTCACCAGTGAGGAAGGACAGTTATGGATGTCATTGGGTGACACATGGACCAAAGCCAGGTGAGAAGAAGCCTCCGCATATTTTAGAGATGATCTCTAAACTCAAGTTTGTTCACATGATCTTAATCAGGTTATCCACCCCCAATAAACTCAATATTAATTTGTTAGGCTTTGGACTCTTCAGACCTGTTCTTTGAAGTTTTTGGAAAGGAAATCTTCAGCCTCAGTGGGATTTCGGAGTGGTTTGATTTTAGGGGTCTCAAGGAGGGAGAAAACGCAGACAGAAATTTTTCTTTTGTCCATGGTATCAAGAGCCTCTTGACATATCCTCTTGCAGTCATTTTTTCTGAACTGTCCCTTGCATGTTTCCAGTTCTTTTTCACCATTATTTTTCCAAGCCAGCTATCTGGACTTCACTAAAAATCAATTTGAAGAAGCTGCAATAAAAAGTGACAAAATACTGAAGAACAGGATACAGATTTCTATTTTCAATTTCCAATAATTATCAAAAGCTAAAAATTTACGACGTGTTTACTTCTTCAAAAGCATCATAATGCTATAAAGAAAATGCTTATAATTTTTAAACAATGTGTATTGGCTGAACCATGTTACATGTGCATACCCTACACATTGCACTTAATGGATTCACTATTATGGTTAGGCTTAGCTAAAGATTAACTATTTTATGCATTTGTTGTTTTTGAGGTAAGTATATGGTTTGAGATTGCTTAGGTAAATAGAACATTTAAAAACAAAAGCTGGACATGAGCCGGCAATGGGCGCTCGCAGCCCAGAAGGCCAACCGTATCCTGGGCTGCATCAAAAGCAGTGTGGCCACCAGGTCGAGGGAGGTGATTCTGCCCCTCTGCTCTGCTCTGGTGAGACCCCACCTGGAGTCCTGCGTCCAGCTCTGGAGCCCTCAGCACAAGACAGACACGGAGCTGTTGGAGCGGGTCCAGAGGAGGACCACAAAAATGATCAGGGAGATGGAATGCCTCTCCTATGAGGAAAGGCTGAGAGAGTTGGGGTTATTCAGCCTGGAGAAGAGAAGGTTTTGGGGAGACCTTATTGCGGCCTTTCAGTACTTAAAGGGGGCTTATAAGAAAGATGGGGACAGACTTTTTAGCAGGGCCTGTTGCGACAGGACGAGGGGGCATGGTTTTAAACTAAAAGAGGGTAGATTTACACTAGATAAAAGGAAGAAATTTTTTACGATGAGGGTGGTGAAACACTGGCACAGGTTGCCCAGAGAGGTGGTAGATGCCCCATCCCTGGCAACATTCAAGGTCAGGTTGGACGGGGCTCTGAGCAACCTGATCTAGTTGAAGATGTCCCTGCCCATGGCAGGGGGGTTGGACTAGATGACCTTGAAAGGTCCCTTCCAACCCAAACTATTCTATGATTCTATGATTCTATGAACATGCAAAAGAAAAAGCTTAAATTAGCAAAGTGCATTTTAACTCTGTAATCTGTGGTAGATAAGTACATTTGATGATGATTAAGTATGCAGTCACTTGGGCTGGAAATGCATCATGTATTTTGTGTTTATTCATCCTTGCTCTTAGATTTCAGATTGGAACATAAACATGTACCAAGTGGATTTCTTTAATTAATTAATTGATTGATTAAAAAGTAGTTGAGTGTTTTGCTGGTAAGGAAGGCTGCATGGAAAGCCCTAGGGCATGGAGTGGCAAACATCCTGAGAGTAGGGAGAGTGACGTACAGGTCTTTCCCTTCCTTGAGCTCACTCTGCTGCAGGACCAGGAATGTCCAAATTCGTCCTTTGGGCCTGTCCTTCAGCCTGCTACTACAAAATGAGCTGGAAACAGGAATTGCAGCTCCTTGTGATTGCCAGAGAGCTTACCCAAGCAAAACACCATGCGCTTGCCTTTACCTGCTTCAAGCTCTGCTGGTTTCATAGCAGCTTGTGGTGGGACTGACAGTGGAAACTGCCTCATAGCATTGGAGCCCCGTGCAGGGAAAATGGATCAGTGGGTAAAATAATGGGCTCCTTGTCTTGGGAACTACCATCATCATTTGTTTAGTCCATCCTGAAAAAAGTTTAATGGGAAGAGAAGTAGCTTATGTTGGGCAGTGAAGAATGAACCACATAGAATATAGTTGGTTGACTCATGCAGATTAGAAATGATGGTCTGATTGATCTCAGTATACAAAGGTACACTGTGGTGTGGTGTAGCAGGAGAGTTGAATGATGAAACTCAAGGGTTACTGACCTAGCTCAGGCCTGCTAATGGGCTAGTAATTGCTGACTGCTCCTACAACTTGTGTGACTGGCAGCATTTGTCCCTTAATTTTGAGCAGTGTCAATGACACTGTTAAAAGACTGTAATGTACATTCCCGTTTCTGCTTCCACTGTGAAGATACAGTAATTTATATTGCGGGACACTGTGTGTTATGTATAGCACAAAGGCAGAGCATGAAAGTGTTTAGGTATTTTGTATTTCAATAGGGAATGCTAATGGAGCTCTGAAAAGTAATACAGTATTTTAAAAAGATCAATCTGGACTATAAAACAGCAAATGTGATGATAATTCTTGTGTCTTGGACTATGTAGAATTGGGGTTTTTGTCAGTAAAAGCTATTGTTTAACTTTTTCTTTTAGGTGTAGCTAGGCCCCTTAAGCTTCCGTGCTTCCTACCTGCTTTCAGACTTTCTTATAAAGCAGGCTGTTTCTTTGAATTCTTTTTTCTGGTGCTTTCACACAAATAGAGCATTGCAATATTTTTCCCCATCTAACAGGTAAGACAAATCCTAGATTTGTTTGTGAATGGTTCTTCTGTTACTCATCCTTTGCTACAAGACAGAAATTTGTTGTGTTTTACCACTGACAAGTCCTTACGGCAGGAGCAGTTTCTTTCTGCAGGGAGCATAGTTGTGGTCAATAGATGTTTTCTGCTGATTTTCTGTGTTCTAGCACAATTCTGCCTGTACTGTAATCCCAGCCTCTCCTCTATACTAATAAAAATTCTAAAGCCTTTCAATTTTTAGGAAACCTATTAAACCAATATTTGTATGGCCCTTGATACAGATCTCTAATTTACTTTTCATACAGAGCGGATTGGCCCAAAGACCATTTTATTCCACCTTATGTCCCCCGTTTCCGAAATGGTTGGGAGCCTCCTTTGCTGAACTTCATGGGAGCTCCAAAGGAGCAAGAACTCAATCATTTGGCTGAGTCCGTGGCAAACGTTGCAGAGCAACAGCGGAAGCAAGAAATGAAAAGACTGTCAACTGAGGTAGGTTACCTGCGACAGAGTTTTGTAAATTAGCTGAAGGCAACACCAACTGCTTCTTTCATAAAGAAAATATTCTGTGATATTGTTGGAGTAACTGTGCTCTGACATCTGCTACATCAGTGCAAATTCATTATACTTCTATTAAAGTTGTACAAAACCAAATACTTGTTCAGCCACCAAAAGTGTGATTAGGAAAAATATAATGCTTTTGCCTACTGCTCTCCTTGAACTTGGTGCACTTTCCTGCCTCAGTTGGGAGGACGATCCAAGCCCCTACGGTTCAGTTTGGTTCTTGACCTGTGCTTTCAGATCCCATTGATTTTGATCGTATATACTTCAGTTAGAATTTGAACCAAAGTATTCTCAAATGTGCATCCATGTACAGGCACAGAGACAAGAAGAAAAAAACACCACTTTTTAGGGAATTTTGGGTTTACACTGCTTCTTCACAAATGTGGAATTTGATATTCCTTTCATTAATTTCTTGATACTTTCACTGTATTGCAAGAAAGTATTTGCAGGTGCTATCAGAGTAATGCCATGTCAGGTGATTTAGGCCTACTTCTGAAAAACAGCTGCCAGTTAGAAGAATTATTGCACAGGAATATTTTCCCATCCTTTTCTCCCAATAAATGTGATTAATTTAGCAAAAAATAGGTTATTCTGTTTAGAAATGGAAACATGCACCGCTATCTAAAGCCTTCAGAGAAACCAGAATGCGTTTTCTGACTAACTTTGAGAAACGAAGGGGCTGACTGTAAAGATTCTACCCCCTACTCTTTTTCAGTAGAGTTGGCCAGAAAATGTACTTGGGTTTATGTGAGAATTTTAAGAGTAAAAGTGGATTTTGTTGCTTATTAATTCAGAAAAAAAAGCTATTGCCTTTTTAAACATATAAAAGTTTTAGTTTTGGAAGCTTTTTGTTGTTGGGAGGACATAAGCTTAATTTAAAATTTTAATTTATTTTTCTATGCTAGCCTTAGTTTCAAGTGTTAGCTAGTCCAAGATGCCCTGTTAGCAGCTGTGACATGGAAGTACACCTAAGAATTTTCTAGGTTCAGTCCATAGTCTTTCCTATTTTCCTCGAGCAATCTACATCAGTACTATATTTGGAGTACATCTTAACACGATGATACTGGATTTTATCTTAATTTTATAATATATATATGTCTTTTTATCTGTTAGTGAAAAAATGCACATATGGAAGAAGATTCAAGGGAAGGATTATTGGCTGGTGTGAGATGGGGTTCTCTTGCAGAGCAATTTTCGTATTGGAGACAACAAAGCTTCCCCAGCAAAAGTTTATCAAAACTGGAAAGCTTGTCACAATAAAACTTTATTTTCACGAAAATCTCCATCGGTCAGAAGAAAAAAAGTCTACTCAGCTATAGAGACAAACAAATTGGGTAAAAAGGCTGCCAAACAAAGGAGGATAACATATTTGTACATATTTGATTACTTAAGATGCTGTTTGGCTTTACGTCTAACAAGATATACAAGAATAAATGTACCAAAAACTAAGTTATTGCCAATGATTCGTTCTGAGAAAAAAAATGTTTGGTAAAGTTAGTGGGCACAATAATGTGAAATGTAGCGGTTGCCATTGCTGTCACCCCCTTCCCTAGTCAGCTCCCAAAAAAGTCTCATCAAACGTTGCCTCAGTGTTTC